GAACGTGCATTTTAAAAATGGATGATAGATCAGGAAAAAATACCAGAGGTTGTCCTGTAGCACTACATGTCGTGTGTGTGTGTGGGTGGATGGCGACAAAGAGGGAAAGAGCTTGATTTAATAGAAAGGGAACACATTAGCCAGGCATGGCAGTACACATCTTTAGTGCCGACACTCATGAGGCAGTGGCTGGTGAATCTCTGTGAGTTCCAGGCCAGCCTGGTCTACATACCGAATTTCAAGACAGCCTGAGCTATATAATAGAGAGAACCTTCCTAAAAAATTACCGGAGAGACACAGTATGAAAGAGAGAGGGGGTGACAGGCAGATACAGCGAGAAAATGAGAAAGCAAGCGCAGGTTGGAAGACCAATTTTTCATTGTCCTATAGGGACAAATTTTATAACCTTTGGCATCCCCTTTGGCATGCAGGGCCTAGAGAAACAGATTTGCCAGTAAATTGCTTTTCATGCAAGAATGAGGACCAGCACCCACATAAACATCTGAGTGCAGTGTCACATGCCTGTAATACACACAAACATGTGCGTGCATGCACACACACACACACACACACACACACGGGAGAGCATATAGTTAGCTTTTTAATCTCATCTTACAGTATGGATAATTTATCTTCAGAGCTTAGAGAGGTGGCTCAGCAGTCATGAACACTGTCTGCTCTTCCAGAAGACCTAGGTTCAATTCCCAGCACCTACTTTGCTGCTCACAAACATTTGTAACTTCAATCCCAGGGTATACAATGCCCTCTTCTGGTGTCCATGGGCACTGTATGAATACTGTGCACAGACACACAGGCAGAAATCTCACACACATAAGACAGTGGGGAATGGGAGTTAATTCTGTTGTATTCCACACCTGAAGGCTTTCATTTGTTACTCTCTGCCTTTCGCAAGATGACTTTCTGGGTCTTGGCAATAGATTATTTATTTCAGTTTGCACTCCCAATTGCCTTGCATCCTGACCTGGAAGTTTGCAGGGGGGGTGGTTAAAATACACACTCTCTCTAGTCGTTAACTCACACGAGCAATCTGTCACACTCAGGAGTCTGAGTCCATTGTCATTGTTGAAAGCATGTCTCCAAAGGCTAGGAATTTGTGAAGAATCTGAAATGGATTTCCCCTAATCCTTGTCTATCAACATGGAAGCCCATACTGAGTGCCTGATATGTGACACTAATTAGCATGTGAACCCATGTTTTTGAAACAAATGGAGAACACCACTCTATGGCCCACATTAAGTTACATAATCACCACCTTAATTTTCATGTTAGAAGAAATGGCTTCTGTTACATAATCACCACCTTAATTTTCATGTTAGAAGAAATGGCTTCTGTAAAGAGTACTATTATCAAGTCCATGGTCCTGCTTCCAGGTACAATGAGAACCTATGCTAGAAAGTCAGGCTGTATTACATGGCTAAGAAACCCTTGAAAAGGCCCACTCAGAGATATTACCTAGCACTTGGGAACTATAGGCAGAAGACCCAGGATCTTTGGCTATACAATGAGTTCAAAGCCCAGGAGTTCAAGGCCAGCATGGATCACATGAGACCCATTTGAAAACAAAAATACTGCCTCCCCAAAGGCACACTCAAATAAAAAAAAATTGACAATTATTAGTAATGGCTGTAAAACGCTGTGAATAAAGACCACGCAGAGTCATATATGCTAGGCAAGCACCTTGCTATGGCAGTATATTACCAGCCCAGATTTTATGTTAAAAGTGTGTTTTATTGTATGTCAACTCTATCTCAGGTTTTAAATTTTTTTTTATTTATTTGGGTGTTTTTTTTTTTAATTTTTGTTTGTTTGAGACCCAGTCTCTCTACATAAGATAACCCTGGCTTCTTGGAACTCACTACCCAGACCAGACTAGCCTTTAATTCAGAGTTCTCTCTGCCTCTGATTCTTAAGTTCTGGGACTATAAGTGTGTGCCACCATGCTCAGCTCAGTTTTTTGTTTTGTTTTGTTTAGGTTTCAGAGCTGAGCGTGGTGGCTCACACCTGTAATCCTAGCATCTGGGCAAGCAGAGTTTGTGCCCACCCTGGACTACAAACAGCCAGGGCTACCCAGGGAAACCCTGTCTCAGAAAAAAAAGTTTCAGGGAGAGGGTAGAATTCTGTTTTTTATTAAGCATACTCAAAACTAGGATTCCCCATAAAGATCTTGGCTCTTCACTGTTATAAGCAGTAGCATTTTTTTTTTTCTGTTCTTGGTGGCTGAACAGCCTGTCAACCTCCCCTCAGAGCACCAATATGGAGCCCTGGAGTTAAAATCAGCTCTACGTAATTCTTGCTATATGTCTTTAAGGGTGGGGTGTTACCTTCTTTTATCTACCTCATGGCATGAACAAATCTTAACACTGAATCGAAAAAGTTTCATGCTGTCATTACTGTATATTCACATAGAAGCCTGCAGCTCAGTGAGCAGGCTTCCACTTCTCCCATTTGTGCCCAACTTCCTGAGTGCGCACATCCTCAGGCAATGGACAGCAGGATCCTCAGAAGGGGTTCCCAAGCTTTGTATCTAAATATTGTCCCATTTAAACAAACCACAATTGTGATCCACATCGTAGATTCCCAGTTATATTTCCCACTTGATTCTAGAACCTAAGCTCAGCTAACACTCTAGAAGCCGTAAGTCACCCGTTACTTTTCTACAGGTACAAATGGCCAATCTCCAGCTTCAAGCACTATTAAATGCTAATGTACCTCCAGTCTTGCTGGTTTCCACTGCTATTCTAAATTTCTCTATCAGACTATACCATTTTAAGAAATAACAATTTTATGCACTTTACTATTTGCTGGGAGAATTTTCACCAAACAAGTTTCTTAGGTTGTTCCCCCCACCACCACCCTTTTTGAGACAGGGTTTCTGTATGTAGCCCTGGCAGTTCTGGAACTCCCTCTGTAGACCAGGCTAGCCTCAAACTCACAGAGATCTGCCTGCCTTTGCCTCTCAAGTACTGGGATCAAAGGTGTATGTCATCATTGCCAGACAGTTTTGTTTTCTTACATAAACTCTACAATTCTTTGTCCAAAAGAAATCCCAATTGTTTGGCTAAAATCTGAGTGCCTCTTCCCAACAGTAATCATCTTCATGTGCACAGATCTTCCCATCTGCCCTAACACCCCATGGCCAAACTTCAGAAAGTTATTTTAGTTCCTCTCTCACTGGTCTATGTTTGTTCCCCCTGAAGCTTTGTGCTTGGATGACTGAAGATGATGACTTTCCATGATAGAGGACAAGTCTTTACTCAAAGGTATAGAGCGGCTGTGCTTCTCTCCTAGAACCTCCAAATAAACTCTCAAGAGATAGCTATTTCTATGCTCTGGAGGAAGTCACCATGAACTTCAAGTCTAATCCCTGGGTTGGTACCATTACCCAGGGAGGGACACAAGCTTATGAGTCTGAATAAAAATATCCCTTCCCTGGAGGGAAGGAGACTCATAGGCCTGATGATCTAAACAAAAATAACAGACTCCTGAAACTTACAAGATTCACAAAGCCCTTCAAAGTCATACATACATTGCTGGCGAGAGCAGTCTGCTGCCTAAGCTGTCTGCAAGAGACTTGTTAGAACATCCTAGAACTCCAGGAATTGAGTTTTTGAGAGTCATCACCACACTGGGATAGTCTTTTATGTGAAATAGCTGTCTTTGATTCATCTGTGCACCTGTAAATAATCCCTTTTCCATACACCTGAAGGAATCCCAATAAACTCAGTAGTTCACCAAACAAGCCTTAGGTTTCTGTCATCGTCAGTGCCTAATCTGGGGTAAACACACACTTGTTCATGTCTCCCCAAGAAAAATCACACCACAGATGCAAAAAAAAAAAAATCAAGTCTGGGTCTCCATATCTTTGAAACAGCCAATACTCTCATTACAATCATTTGAATGCCAAACTGCTATGTGAAAGTCTCATCATTTATGCAACAATCAGCTATTTCTTCACTTAGCTAACTGCCTGCAAAAGTGCAACTTAATCATCCTTGAAAGTTCATCATGTTCTAGGGACAGGCCACCACTCAAGCTACAGATGGGTTCACTGATAACTGACAACTAAAGAAATTTTAATAAATTAGACAGAGAAAGAACACCTATGCAGAAATCAGTTGGCCTTTTTTCCCTACCTAGTTTCGGGTTATAAAATTCTGAGTTGGTTTCGGCAAGTTTTTTCTCACTGCTTACAAAAACAAAACATCAGCAAGCCATCAGACTCTTCAATGAAAATGTATTATGGAAGAAGGGGGGTGGAATAGAAGGACATGAAGGTGACAGGAGCCCCAACAAGGAGACCAACAAAGCTAAAAATACCTGAGCCCAAGGGGTCCTGCAGAGACTGAGGCACCAACCAAAGACCATGCATGGAGAGGACCTAGACCCCCTGCTCAGATGTAGCCAACTGGCAGTTCAGTCTCCATGTGGGTTGCCTGAGTAAGTGGAGCAGGGGCTGCCTCTGACATGAACTCAGTTGCCTGCTCTTTGATCACTTGTCCGTGGCGAAAAGGTCTTGCCAGGCCACAAAGGAAGAGGATTCAAGCAATCCTGATGAGACTTGATAAGGTATGGGCAGATGGCAGAGGAGGGAACCCCCCCCCCCTTTTCAGTGGACTACTGGAAGGGGAGAGGCGGGGAAAGGGAGTGAGGATGGGACTGGGAGGAGTTGGGGGAGGGGGCTACAACCGGGATATATAATGAATAAATTGTGAAAAAATTAAAACAAAAAATGTTTTAACAGTTTTAAAAATTAAACAGAATGTACACATCATGCAAATGAGGTATCAGGTGATCACCACAGTGCTGTGAGGTACAGTGAAGCTCAATGAAACAGACACTTAGCAAAATAAAGCTTTAAGAAAAATGGCCAGGTGCTTTTTGGGTGTCAGACCATGCTTTCATCTGTGTGCTTATTATAAAAGATATATCTCCTTTAATAGTAATCAAAGTCAATAGCACAGCATTCTTAGAGGTATGGATTTTATTTAGACTATATCGCATAAACATACATAGCTTCTGAGACTAATACATTCTTAAACTGTACTGGTTTTAAAAGTACAGAACAAGATACTACTGAAACTTCTTTATATCTCCTGTTTTGCAAATCTCAAAATTAAGGATCTTTTCAAAAGCTTTCAAGTACAAGTCAAAACTAAAAGTTCCAAAGAAAAAAATCATTTTAATAGTAAAGCTACATTTCACCACAAGAAATGAAAAAAATTAAATATAGCATATGGCATAAAATGTATGGAGTTATACATTCTAGTGTCATTTTTCCTCGTTCAGACTTTTTAATGTTAAAGTCTATTAAAGTGACATACTGGGACCAACTTGGGGCCCCCTTTCAAAGCACTGTGACTCCTTTATTATAGTTAAGCAATCATAGGAGCAAACAAAAGAAAATTCCAAGATCCATCAGGAAAAAAAAACAAAAAACAGCAAAGTCATAAAAACAGCCACTTAAACAAGACTTGATTCATTCAGTTGCAATGCCATTCAATGGTTTGGAGTGAAAATTTGGAGATTTTAAAGGTATGACATGAAAGGGTCCTTGCTAGATTCAGTTTCCATAAGAGGAAAGAAATAATTGCCACTATTTGATTATTTATTCAACCAAACATTTTTAACCTTCCAACAGTAATGTGGGTAATGCTCTGCAGGTGATGAAACTTAATAATAAAAATAAAATAACAGAAGCCTGAGAGAGAGAAAGTGGCTAGATCCCCCATACACACCCTCCAAAAGACAGGGAGATAAGCAGCCCAGGTTGAGAAGTACATGATTAACTAGAGTGTGGGTAAATAGAAGAATTCTATAAGAAGAGACATCTAAATGCCTATGTGCTCCAACTCTGGAAATTTGAGTGTCCTAAAGTAAGGTTCCCAGCCAGCATCACGCAAGTTACAATAGTAGAGAAGGATAAGGAAGTGCTTTAGCAGTAGCTGAAGCTCATAAATGGAACCATAAAATAAAATTTTGCTAAAGTCCCATAAAGCAAAAATCTCAAGGTTTTTATCAGAAGGCCAGTATTTGCCAAACTATCTAGGAATACAGTTACATTCTGATATAGTAATTTGGAATCCAGCAGTTAAGGGCAAAAGAATCTTCTTCAGGTGGCCAGCAATTTAGATTTTACACCAACAGCTTCATGGTTGATCCAAACACCACCTGTGTCAATTCAAAAGCAAAATCAGGTAAGATCAAAGCAGAAACCAAATACTTTGCACTTTCCCTTGGATAATACAGTAGTTCTCAACAGAAATAACGTAGCACTTTTAACAGAATCATTAATTTAGTGGGGTCAAAGGTTCTTCTTATGGGACTTCTCTAAAATTGGCAGATATTATCTTTGGTTTTTTCTGCCCTTGAGGAAAGAACAGTCCTCCATTGAGGAAGTAGGGCTAGTGCATAGCTTCATGAAGGATGAGGGAGGGAGGAATGATATTCTCCAAGCCACTGAGATCACCCTTACATCCAAACTTCAAGGTGTTTAATGTTTCAAGCACGGTGGCAATAAAGCACCTTTGGTTTAGAAGGATGTGAGAACTAGTCTATAGGTTGTATTGTTGGTTTGTTTGTTTTGAGACAGGGTTTCTCTGTGTAGCCTTGGCTACCATGGATTCTCTTTGTAGACCAGGCTGGCCTCAAAGTCACAGCAATCCATCTGTCTCTGCCTCCTGAGTGCTGGGACTAAAGGCATGTACCACCACGCCTGGCTAAAAACCTTTTTTTAGAATCTTTAATGACATTAGGGCTAGTGAAAAGGATTAGTAATTAAAAGCGCTTGCTGTGCAGGCATCAGTATGACTACACATCTCCAGCAACCACATAAAAACATGGTCACATGTACTTGTAATCACAGTGTGTGGTGAGGGTGGTGGTGGGAGTGGAGCAGGAGGATTGCTGGTGCTCAATGTTCAGGTAGCCCAGCCCTCAAAAAAAGTGAATTCTATTTCAGTGACAGACCCTGTCTCAAAGGAATAAGGCGGGGAGTGATAGAGGAAGATACCTTCACACACAGAAGTAGAAACCATATACAAATAACAACAAAAATAAAAATAAAAAATAAAATGTCAGGAGCAATAGGAATAACTAACTTACCCAAGGATTTGATGATAGACACTAATTATGTTTGCATTGTTCAAAAATAAGTCCCAGGGGCTAGAGAGATGGCTCAGTGGTTAAGAGTACTATTGGTCTTGCACAGGACCTGAATTTGATTACTAACACTTAAATCAGGAGGGTGTAACTCCAGATGCAGGGACGGACAGGGGTGTGATGCTTCTGGCCTCCAAGGCCTTTACTCCTGTGTATATATGTACGACACGTGTGTGCATGCATGCACATGCACACGCACACACTTAAAAGTTTTTTTAAAGTCCGAATTAAAGTAAATCAAATGTGAAATATAAGTGTACACAGCTATTGAATGAAGATAACTGATAAAGACTCTCCCATGAGAGGGGCTGGTGTTGTTTAGTAGTAAAGCATAAGCTTAGCATGTAAAACACAGCTCAGTGGTGAGGGAAAACCTTCAGGACACAAAAATAACGTTCTTTCCTCTAACCTCCGCTATGATCCAAGAACAGATTTCTGCTTGGGAAGAATCCAGAGTAGGTCAATAGAATAGCTGACCATTTGGCTCATCACTCATCAGTCTGTATGAGTGATTACAGATAGAGTATGGAAGTCACTGAAAAAGGGTTCGCTTTACTAGAATCACCCTGCAGAAGTCTGAGCATTCTCTCATTATCTCACTGTCGAATCTTCTCAACCTTCCTACCCACAGCTCCAAAGAACAGGGACAACATGAATAGGATACTACATTAGGGGCTAACATATAAAGGAATTACTTAGACTCCTCAATTTTCTGTGTGTGCTGCAATACAATTTTGTGTTTTTAATTTTCAAATAAAATCAGCTAAGAGACTATGTGGTATTTATCCCATCTTTGCAAATCTCACTTAGGAAGTTGTAGATTTAGAATATCATAAAAGACTGTACCTTTCATTAAAGGAATGCTTTGTCAGCAGAAGGTGTTCAGAGTAGTTTCTTGCCCAGGACTGTTAAATCCTTCGATGAGGTTTTTGTTACAGTCATCAAGGCTGAGGTTTTCACTGGATTTCTTGGGGAATGTGGGAGGGCCAGTGAAATCTAAGATATCCTGAAGTGCTCGGGCATTCCCAGTTCCATTTTGGTCCAGAGACATCCCAGGAATCATTTCACTCACTGGTGAAAATTCTGGGATGGAGATAAGCTCTTCTTTAGAAACAGGACTAGAAGAGACAGAGAATGAGAGACAGAGAGGAGAGAAAACATGAGAACTAAATATGATGTCTTAATGTACTTTCCTTTTTTGTATGATTTTACTCTACTGCTCTTATGGAGAAGATGGAGTTAGGAAAATGACAAGTGAGTTCACATTTGAGAAGCTAGCAGACATAAGGTCCTTGTAGATGAGAACAAGGGAAGTAGATGGGTCAGAGCAGTGAAGAAGAGTTAGTTCAGTGTCTGAGGGTTAAAGGGAAATAAGACCCTACAGATATCATCACATTACTACAGAGAAGTAATGCCCCCCCCTCCCCAGTGCATTCAGGCTGAGACATTCCAAGAGCAAGCAAGGACTAATATTTCAAAGGGCTAAATTCACACTGGGGCCTAAAAAGGACTCTAATTCACATTGGGGCCTCCTGGTGCTGCCCTTCCAGCAGTGCTGTCTATGGTAAGCTGTTCTTCCTGTCCCTGGCCTTGGTTTCCTCCCCCTGTAAAATGGGGAGAGGAGTCGTTTTTTTCCTCCCACTACTCCTTTGAGATGTGAAGTTACCATGCTGAGAAGAATTAATGCAGGGCCACATGAAGAATGTGCTCAGTTAAAGTTGGGGAATGGGGGAACCTACTGTCACTCCAGGCAACTATAAGCCCAATCTCACCCACTGCCTCCTTTCTAAAACCAGGCTTCAAATTCACCATGACTTGTCTATCTAAAGCAGCTGAGGCTTGCTCTTTCTTTATTTCCTTTTGCTAGAGATGGGAGGGGTTTAACTGCTGCTGTCTGCTATAGGTCTACCAAAGGAGCAAATACAGCTCTAGAAGAGCATTGGGCTGGAAATTAAGGGCCTGTCCCTGTAAGACTCTCAAATAAGACATCTAGAATAAAAATGGTGTCAGGCTCTTCTTCCTCTATGAGTTCTTAAAGAAGAATCTAGGAAAATCAGTAGATCTGCAGAAGTTCAAAGTATCCATTTTCCTCACGCCTAAACCAAGCTAAGGCACAGCAACTGACCTAACATATCTTCCTGAAGATAAAAAATGGTGTCAGGCTCTTCTTCCTCTCTGCTGGGAGCAGAGTGGTACCAGTCAGGGGAAAGCTGTGAGGTGGTGTTGGTGGTATGGGGATATCCAGTTGAAAGTTGGTGGGGAGCCACACTATCAGCCTATACAGGATTTTCTTTGCTGGTGATAGGGCTGTTGGAGCATGGGTTTTCATGTATCTGATTAAAACTCAGTGTGTATGAATGGGTTATTAATGATCAGTGTGTGTCACAGGCTGTTCACATCTGCTCAGATAAAGCAGAGAGGGTTCATGGCTGATGAGAAAAGGATAAGCTCTTAACAGGTAGGAGTTCTTGTAAAACTTCTATAAAATATTGTCACACTCTCCTGACCTAGAGAGCCAACTCATACTCCAATAGCTGTACGTCAATTCCAAGTCAATTATCTCTTTTTTTTAAATCTCAGATTAATATGCCAATGATGTCATCTGTAAGATACCAGTTTAATGATACCTTAGGTTTTTAGTAACTGAGATCAAATTAGTTCTTTCATTAGGTCTTAAACAACAAGCAGAATTTTGCTATGCAACCCAGACTGCCATTGAACTTTTTTTAATTTTTATTTTTTATATTAATGACAGTTTATTCACTTTGTATCCCAGCTGTAACTCCCTCCCTCACTCCCTCCCAAGCCCACCCTCCCTCCCTTATCTCCTCCCATGCTCCTCTCCAAGTCTTGACCCTCCTATCTCAGCCGCCAGAGTGTTTGATTCCAAGTATCTGACACCATTCTCAGCTTGAATTGAGAAGTCTACTTAAATGTGAGGCTCTCTGGACACAGGCAACTGCATTGGTGGCCTGGCTAGATCTCCTCTCCTTGAAGGTGCGCCTACTTACAAGCTTCAGAAGGCTGGCTAGTAAAAATTCACAGCTGCTACTTTTTTTTTTTTTTGACAACTTGTTTTAACTGATAGGAGCCACTGTGGCCACAGTTACTTCTGCATCACCCAACCTGCAGTTGCTTGACAACACTGAATGACTAATGTATGTAATATATAGTAATAAAAATGATGCCCTGGTGGAAAGCCAACCTCCAGATAGCCTGTGAAATTGAGAACACATCCTTGCTTATTGCCTTCCCTCCCTCCACAGTCCTCCTTCAGTAACTTATATGCCATAAAACTCGGTCTCTGGTTTTGCTTCTAGGATGCCAAACTGGAGACATTTATACTACACCTATGACAACTTTCCTGTATCACCAAAACCTGCTTTCAAGGTGATTCATTATGGATGAGGAAGATGAGTGAAGGGATAAAATTAAAAAGGGTATGATTTAAAGAAACAAGTAAAAGAAATGAAAAAAAAAAGATAAACTAATTGGCAAGGACTGGCAAACCTATCAAGATTAAATGCAAAATAAATGAACATACCTCACATCCATAGACTGAACTTCTTCAGTTGAATCATCCAGACTGTTTGATTTCCCATCAAGGCCATCCAGATGAACAGGTCCCCCAACTGGTTTAAGACCATTAGAGAAAATGTCTTGGGAAAAGGTTTCTGGAGCAGAATGCTCTGGGGCATTTACTTCCTGGCAGGTGTTCAATTCATTGATTTCTGATCAAGATCACAGAATGTTCAGATAAATCTTAATGTCCACATTTGACAAAGTAACAGAAAACATATAACAAGGCAATTATTCTCATCCTTTCTTTCAGCAGTAATACAGTAGTTTTTGTGTGGAAAGAGCCACCAGTAACTCCATGCAATCAGCTTTACAAAAGGAAAAAAAAAATGATCTTACTATCAGTGTCTACAAGGACTCAGTTTAAGAGACAAGCAGTGTCTTAGTAATATCTGATGTGCAGTCAAGGTCTCTGGAAAGCATCCTGAACCAAGCATCAGTTATTAGAGTAGCTGAAGAAGGCAATAGTTTATCAACTGCAGCTAATAGCCCATGTGCTGGAAAGATGTCTCAGGAAGCAAAACTGCCAGCAGCCAGAACCCTTGGCCCAGCTGCACTATCCTGACCACCAGGAGGAAGGTTTACTAGTCCTCATCACCTAAAGGATTCAAACATGAGACCTCATACCCACCTATTTTGTTGGGGACAACTGGTTTTGTCTTATTTTCCACAGCTGCAACAGGCTGAATCTCAACTTTGGGGTCTTCCTTCTAGAAACAAATAGAAGGTGGATGACTAGGAAAGAAAGGGGAAAGGAGGAAAAAAGAAAAAAGCATCTAATAAAGAAATAACTATAAAAAAGAAATAACTTTTTTTTAAAATCAAGTCACTGGTAATGACTGGAGAAGAAATCAGAAAGGTGATGTAAAGATGAAAGACTGAAATTATAAAGAAAAACAATTTTTTTAAAGTACCAGTATTCAGTATTCAGAACCCTTCTAGGCCATAGCAGGAAGTGTTCTCTTTAAAGCTTTGTATTTCTCTTAATTATTATGCTACTTTTCTCTTTAACTACTGTGTCTTTCCTTGCACCACCAACCCCACTGCTCTGAGCAAATTTTTTAACCCCTTCATCTTTGAAACTCCTCTTTCCTTTAAGGTCTCAGTTCCTTCCTGAGCCGTACCTTGACCAGAATGGGGAAAGTCTACTTTTTCTACAAGTCTCAAACCTTCAACTTCATGAAATGTATTCTGCTGTTCTTCTCCACTCATGACATAATGGTTATTTGAATTCCTACCTTTACTTCTAGAGACACATCACTCTTCCTTGTCCTCTTCATAATTTCATCTATTCTCTAGTGGGGGGTAAAAGTAAGAGGCCTCTAAGAATAAAAAAAGAAATTGGCTCCATAGGCAATTTCATATCTCTCAGAAAACTTGTAAAAGATAAATGTCAGCAGACGAAAAGTAGCGGAGAAAGGTTTCCCAGTGGTGGTGCAGGGTCTTCCACTGCCACAAACAAGGTCAAATGAGTGTACTAAGACAGATCTAGAATTAATATCCAATTTGTACACCATATTTTTCCTTATTCTCTTTAAATCAACCAAGTGCCACCTTCCATTCAAGAGGACTATGCAATAGAAAGCTAAGTTGAACGGTAGGCTCAGGAAGAGTCACCGATCTCTTAGCTTCTATCTAGAGCAATACAAAGCCCACACTGGGTAATACAAGGACCACAAAAATAGGTCTACATAATAAGTCTCCTTACAGACACTTGATATGTAAGTACATTAAATTTAAAAGAAATAAAAATTTCCATTGAAAGACAAAAACGGTTAAATTAGATTCAGATAGCAAGCCCTGACTGCTATATGTTGTTTACAAAGGACAATCATAAAAACACACAGGTTCAAAGAAAAATATGGAAACAAGATTTACCATCAGAACATTAATCATATGAAGGCTGTGAAAGTATACTTTAAAGAATAGTATTAGAATTAATGCTGGGCAATGGTGGCACAGGTCTTTAGTCCCAATACTTGGAAGGCAGAGAGATAGGCAGATATTTGAGTTCAAGGCCAATTGAGGCCTAGAGCAAGTTCCAGGCCAGCCAGGGCTACACAGAGAAACCTTGTCTTGAAAAACCAACAAACAAAAGAACTAAGAAGGGAAGCTCATGATAAAATTGTCAATTCAAAAAGAAAATGTAACTATCTGATATTTATATTCATTAATAGGGATTCAACATACATTGTGTGTGTGTGTGTGTGTGTGTGTGTGTGTGTGTGTGTGTGTGTGTATAACAGAACTGACAGAAATGAAAGGCAAAATGTGAAAAATCAAAATCACAAAAAGAGCTCTATTATTTACAGGGCTGAGGGTCAAACAAATGACTGTATATGTGATTAACAAGCACTCTTACTACTGGGCTACATCCCCAGCACACGAATAGAGCTTTCTAATCACTCCTTTCTCAATGAGCAAAAGAACACGATGACAGGAAATTAAAAAAAAAAAACAAAAACAACATAATAACGATAGAGACTGATTGATTCACTTCCTGTTCCTGTCCTCACCTTAAGTACTCCTGATCCCTCCACTCCTACCTTCTTCCTCTCTCTTCGTTCCTGCTCAATCTGCAGCATGATCTGTTCTCTTTCTAAACGCATCTGCTTAGTGGCCTCCTGTGCCTTTGCTTCTGCTACTTCTTTCTGAAAGAAACAAAGCAAAGCACAGGCTTGATTAAGGTAGAAACACTGGAGTAGTTCCCTGAGCTCTGCACAGGTGCCCTCATCCCATCATATCCCCCAAAGCGGATGTTGTTTCCATATTTAATGTGAACTTCTGAAACCTACTTTTGACCTAGCAGGTTGTTCATATCCTCTCAACCCACCATGAAAATCACCTGTAGATAGTTCTCACACATGGAGAAGGTCTTTGTGGTTGTGGGCAGGCTCTTGCAAGGAAGTATGCATACAGGCAGGCAATTCCAGAAGTTAACTCCCCAAGGAGCAGTATTCCACACTCAGGAGTAGTGTTAGTAAATGAACTGTCCAGTTTCCTCACTTCTCAGAGAGAAAATTCTAAGTCACAATAATTAGTCTCAGAGGTCCCAATGGCACCTAGCTCCAGTTACCCACAGTAACTTATTCATCAATGTACTTATACTGACTTCCTTTTTTCCCATACCAGATTCATGCGATTTTCTCCCAAATGAACCACTGGCACCCAAATTCTTTTTTTTTTTTAATTTTTATTTTTTTATTAGTTACATTTTATTAACTCTGTATCCCAGCTGTATCCCGCTCCCTCATTCCCTCCCAATCCTACCCTCCCTCCCTCATCTCCACCCTGCCCCTTTCCAAGTCCACTGATAGGGGAGGACCTCCTCCCCATTCATCTGACCCTGTTTTATCAGGTATCTTCAGGACTGGCTGCAAAGTCCTCCTCTGTGGCCTAACAGGACTGTTCCTCTCTTGGGGGGTGGGGAGGTCCAAGAGCCAGCCATTGAGTTCCTGTTAGAAGTAGTCCTTGTTCCCCTTACTATGGGAAACCAATTGGTTACTGAGCTACCACGGGCTACATCCGAACAGAGGTTCTAGGTTATATCCATACATGGTCGTTGGTTGAATGTCAGTCTTATAAAAGACCCTGTGCCCAGATATATTTGGTCCTTGTGGGGCTCCTATCCTTTCCCCATCATACTAACTCCCCTTCTTTTATATGATTCCCTGTACTATGCTGAAGTACAGGTTATGAGTCTTAGTGTCTGCTTTGAAACACTGCTTGGTAGAGTCTTTCAGATGCCTTCTGCAGTAGACTCCTGTCATACGTTCAATGCACATCCCATCTGTTTTTCTAAATAAGGATTGATCATCTTACCCAAATTCTTATTCCAGTGTCTTCCTCTTGTAGGGAAATCCAAACTGACATAGTAAACATTAATGAATTTACTTTATTCCATATGAATTATATTTAATAACCATTACAAGGAGCTTCAGAAAAACCTAATTATTATTATGTCATTGAGCAAATTTTACCTATTATTAACAGGAACCATTGAATAACAAGAAAAGTCTTGAGACTGCAGACTGTACCTGCTTTTCCTTTTCCTTCTCTTGTTTTTCCTCTTCTTGCTCAAGGGCTTTTTCTAGGAGCAGCCTTTCCTCTTCTGCCTTTTTTTTAAATTCCTCTTTTTCCAGCCTTTTGAAAACAAAAGAATTGTTAGAGGGTGATAACTCTAAAGGCAAACTACCAATGGATCATGTGCTGACCATAGCAGGTAAGGCTCAACATGCTCTCCCTCTCTCCCTCTCTTTCTCTCAAGATTAAAAGCAAGCAAGAGTGACAATGAGCAAGCGAGGAAGCAAGAGGAAGAAAGCAAGTAAGAGAGAGAGGTAAAGACTGAAACTGTTAGAGTAACATATTTATGGTCCTAAATCTCCTTTAACCTCATTATCACTGGAAACATAAATTCCTTAGGAATAGTGCTACCTCAAGATACAGCTTGAGATCAGGGATAGAGATACCTCCAGACTATATGTTGCTGTACAGGATTGTTTTAGCTATTCTGGGTTTTTTGTTTTACCATATGAAATTGAGAATTGTTCTTTCAAGTTCTGTAAAAAATTGTGTTGGTATTTTGATGGGAATTGCATTTTAGATTGCTTTTGGTAAAAAATAGCCATTTTCACTGCTAATTCTACCGATCCATGAGCATAAAGGACACTGTCCTCAGAACAAAATGACAGCCTACAGACTAGGAAAAGATCTTCACCAACTCTACATCTGACAGAGGGCTAATATCCAGAATATATAAAGAACTCAAGAAGTTAACACCAACAAACCAACTAATTCAATTAAAACATGGGGTACAGAGCTAAACAGAGTATTCTCAATAGAGGAATATTGAATGGCAGAGCAACACTTAAAGAAATGCTCAACACGTCCTTAGTCATTTGGGAACTGCAAATCAAAACAAGAAACCTCACGCCCATCAGAATGGCTAAGATAAAAAAACTCAAGGGATGATGCATGCTGGAGAGGTTGTGGAGAAAGGGAAACACTCCTCCATTGCTGGTAGGAATGTAACCTTTTACAACCACTTTAGAAATCAATCTGGCACTTTCTCAGAAAATTAGAAATAGTGCTTCCTCAAGATCCAGCTATACCATTCCTAGGCATATACCCAAAAGATGCCCCACCATTCAATAAGACATTTGCTCAGCTTTGTTCATAGAAGCTTTATTCGTAATAGCCAGAATCTGGAAACAACCTAGATGTCACTCAACCGAGGATTGGATGCAGGAAGTGGGGTACATTTACACAATGGAATACTACTCAGCAATTAAAAATAAGGAAATCATGAAATTTGCAGGCAAATGGTGGGAACTAGAAAAGATCATCCCAAGTGAGGTAACCCAGAAGCAGAAAGACAAACATGGTAAATACTCACTTATAAGTGGATATTAGCCATATAATATAGGATAAGCATAATAACCTCTACAGTCCTAAAGAAGCTAAACAACAAGGAGGACCCTAGGGAGGATGCTCAATCCTCATTCAGAAGGCTAAACAGGACAGACATGAGAAGTAGGAAAAGACAAGGAACAAGACAGGAGCCTTCCACAGAGGACCTCTGAAAGACTCTACCCATGAGGGTATTGGAGAAGATACTGAGACTCATAGACAAACTTTGGACAGAGTACCAGCAACCCTATGGAAGAAGAGGGAGATAGAAAGACCTGGAGGGGACAGGAACTCCACAAGGAGAACAACAGAGTCAAAAAACCTGGGCCCAGGGGGTCCTGCAGAGACCATACTCCAACCAAGGTCCATGCATGGAGAAGACCTAGACCGCGTTTCAGAGGAAGCCCATATGCTGCTCAGTTTCCAAGTGTGTTCCCCAGTAAGGAGTACAGGGATGTCTCTGACATGAGCTCAGTAGCTGGCTCTTTGAACACCTCCCCCTGGGGTGTGTGTGTGCAGCTTTGCTAGGCCACAGAGGAAGATGGTGTAGCCAGCCTTGATGAGACCTGATAGACTAGGGTCCAATAGAAGGGGAGGAGGTCTTCCCCTATGTGGGTATCTGGGAAAGGGCATAGAGGGAGAAGAGGGAGAATAGGTGGGACTGGAGGAGATGAGGGAGGGGGCTGAAGTGAGGATACAAAATGGATAAATTGCAATACATACATACATATATACATAAACAAACAAAATTATAAAAAGAAAAATACTTTACAAAAGCAAACATAAGTTCCTCCCCACATACCTACCAGCCTCTGCTTATCCTTTCCTTAAGAAATTCCATCCTGTTCCTGAAAAGATTCCCTTTTACCTCCACTTCACTTCCCTTACAAGTATTTAAAAACTAACACAAAAAGCCTGGCTTCCCATGTGAAACCAGGTATTTCACAATTTTCTCCAAGTATGAACCTTCTCACTTTAAGAATCATTTCCTTTCCCACCAGCTTCTATCACTGGCCACCCCTCATCTACCACATTTGTTGTTGTCACAAAGCTACCTACACTCTCTGGTTTCTCTTTGTTTTATAAAAATCTTGTCTTACCAATCTTCTGGAGTTCACCAAACCAGTGAGCAGTTTTCATCCTCTTGATCCTTGTTATCATACACATCTAAGCCCAGTCCTCCTTCACTACTAATAGAAAGTGTCATCCTTCACCAATTAATGGATATCACTTGCCTTAGTCATTGACTACTGGTGAGAGGCTTTATATAATGCCCCCCATCTCTCAGTCTCTTGCTCTTCACACCTGAAGCCCCTCATTGCCATGTTGGCCCACCCTATGGATGCACTTGATGGACCCTGAATTGTTTAGTCTTGTGGTTGAGTATGTGGGCTTCACTGTTCACTAGTCCTATGTGTTTTAAGTTTTCATTTAAAAAGCTTCATCTTTACCATCAATCTTATTCTGATCTTAGCCCATCCTTCTGTCTCTTTGGTGACCTTCCCTGTTGAGCACTGTACAAATGTCTACCATATTCCTTCCATTAGGATCTATCCATGTCTCTGGTCCCCACCTGAGCATTCCTGTGATGACACAGAGGCTACTCTGTTACCCTCTTCCCCAATTCGCAGCCTGGGTGGTCCTTAGGATCTACTCATGCCCTTCCCTGGCTTCTGAGACTGGCTAGAGAAAGGTACAAACAAAGGCGATTGGTCTTGTGCTCCTTAGTCTCAGCTGATATATTCTTAGTCTCATCTTTTGGATTCTATGTGGGCAATCACTTTTTGTCAACCTTTATCCTCATTTTAGTTGACAGCAGTACCACTACTTTTCAGAGAAAACTGGGGCCACTTCGTCGTACTTCTATACTTCATTCATTCACTATATTAGGACTAAGAGTGTTTCCTGTTTGTTCTGCCTAATATGCAAAGGATTGTAAATGCTACCACATGTGTAATTAATTCCTTACACTCCCACTACTCTTATTTCTTCTGCTGGTTCCCATTCCTTCCAATGCCAGTTTCACCCTTCTATATACAACTTCCCATGAGCTGCAAAAGCACTCAGGTCTCAGGCATCCCAATCCATCTTCTTAAATTTTCTCCCACCTGCCTTCTGCTTTTTGACCAATCTCTTACCTTTTTCAGGCTGTTTCATGTCTTTGTACCTGTCTTCTCAATAATTTAATCTCCTAAAATCTTTTCATTGCCTAAATATGTCTTGCAATACCCTGACAACACTGGCTTTCCTTCCTGTGGGGCCCTCTTACAGTGCCTGGCCACTTAAGGTGGTGCTGTCCTGTCTCCCTCCTGCCTCTACTTTACCTTGCTGCTACACATTGGAAGGCCAGTGCCTACCCTAGCTTACACTCAAAACACCAGCTACCTCAAGACTTAGCCAGTGAGAAGCCAGGTATGAACAACACTATGGAACTGTGCCCGCAGTTTCAAGCATGTGCTCTCATTTAAACAATGACTTCAGGTTGGCTACGTGACCTGGTCATGAGAAGCCTTTTATGAACATTCTTTCATAAGAATCTCTAACAACCATTTCAGCTTCTACATGTAATCTATTTTGTAATCCCTGTAAGCTCACCTGCTTGCTAATGTCTGCTTATGTCTTCCCTAGACTGGATGCAGGGTGTAAGGATGCCTGTCCCAACTCCAACTATCCTACTGTATATCTCGGGCCATCCCCAAGCCTAGAGGCGAGGACTGCTGTGTGGACTTCTAAGAGAGCTCTGATGTCACAGCCATCTAAAACTGGATCAGCGTTTTGTTCTCTTGGGGCCTAGTTGCCAGATCACCTAGTAAACCCTTTCTTTAAAGGGAGTCTCTCAGACCCATGACTTGGATATTGTTTCTCTCAATAGCTGGTGACAATAACTGGGCTTTCTGGAGTTTAGCACAAGTATCTTTTCTTTCTTTCTTTCTTTCTTTCTTTCTTTCTTTCTTTCTTTCTTTCTTTTTTTTTCTACAGTCTCTGAACTGGTCATCACTTCTGTGCAACTTTAACTATTGATACTATACAAAACAGATAAGAGGATGATTCTATTCCAAGAGATGTCTGCTGTGTTTCAGTCCCAGGTTGTCTGGTACTTTCCTTTCTTGCCTTGCTTATGGCACTGTCAAAGCTTTACATTCTGGCAAGAGAGAAGAAAACTGATTTGGGTTTAAGTGTATTCATCTCAATTTTCACCTAGGCATCAGGCTTCTTTTTTATTTCCAACTACCTGTATGCTCTGCAAGCACCTTTTATCTAAAATCAGGTGGGGAATTTTTAGCTTTTCATACTTTTTTTTGCCTTCCCATGGTCTGTTATTGGGTATAACATCTTCCTAAATACTTCAAATCAAACCTTAGCATCTCCTCCAAATTTGCCCGTTTCTTTTTATTTGTAGAAGTCTGTATATTCCCTTTTTTCTGCCTTCACCATGAAATTTTAGCCTTGAGCCCACTTAACCCACTGCTGTCACTGATGGCATTTTTGTTGAGCTTCTTCTTCACTGAGCACCAAGCAACAGTAACCCAAGACTGTACTCTGACCTTTTAAAGTATTAGCTAGAAAACAGATACAACCTCTAGACAAATGAGGCTATTTTAGTCAATTGGAAGCTAAGCTAAAAGGGTAAAAAGGGAGTAGGTCAGTTCCCTCCCCAATACAGATCCAGAAAGGCCACAGGAGTGATTTGACCTGCATCTTAAGAAAGAAAGACACATCACATGTTCATGTGGAGGCACAGCAAAAGCAAGGGTTTTATGGTTGTGAAGTTGGATACTAGAACACATGAGGAGGCTGGGGGAGAGGGAGAGGGAGAGGGAGAGAGAAAGAGAGAGAGAGAGAGAGAGAGAGAGAGAGAGAGAGAGAGAGAGAAGAGAAGCAAGGAGTGGCCAGTCCATGGCACATTTGCTGGTAGGTTTTGAGAAATCCAGTAGTCAAAAGATTCACTAGCAAGGACAATCACATTTATTTAAGAAAAGTCACTTATGAAAACAACATGGGCAGCAAACAAGCTCTGAGAGATCTGGAGCACTCCACTAAGATTCCGAAGACACAGTCTAGCTGACCTACCTACTGCTGGGAAAGCATGGGGAGAACAAAAATGCTAATTTTATTAGCCAATGGAGACTTACCTAACAACTGATGTGATGTGAAGGATGATGGAGTTGTTGAAAGCAACCCTGAGATGTCTGACTTTGGGACTGGGATAGATGGGAATATGGAGGGCATGAAATAAACCAGAAGTCTAAATACTAATTTATGCCTTCAAAATGCTGAATTTGAGGTAGATATGGGAACACTAAAATTATACTTGAAAATATAGGCTTTGGCTTAATAGACAAATGCTTCTTAACAGAACTTTCTGAGATAAGGAAATGTTTTACAGAATTGTGTTGTTTGTTCTGGTAACTACTAGCCACATGTGGCTATAAACAATGATATGTGGCTAATGCTAAGGAATTGAATTTTCCACAATTTAAATTTACATATATCTCGATGTGATGGTATAAGACAATGCAGCTTTAGGTTAAATTCAGGGCATAGGTACAGATTCAGGAGTCTTTAAATATTACAGAAAGTATTAGGAGGTTTACAAAACAAACCTACAGTTAGCTTCAGAAATAAGTGATAAACAGAAGGTGAAAGGTAAATGAACTCAGGAAGGGAGATGAGAGCAAGTTCACTTAACACACCAAAGACTAAGCATGAAATTGCTGCATGAACTGTCACTCATAAATATTTTGAAGCCAGAGGAAACTGGAAGAATATCAGGGACAATAGCTAGCAACATTGCCCTCAGGGAGGACTTGTCAGACAAAAACCTGGTCAAAGACTAAAGGAGTGGAGTCTAGGTAACATTTAAGGAGATTTAATAGGTGCAATACAGAAGAGAGAGAGAAAAAAAAAAGACAAGTTCCACAGCACCATAGGAAATCAAGAATCAAATTAAGAATCTTGTAATAAAAGATTGGAGGGTGTGTGGAAGTATGAAGGGTGAAGGGTGTGAGTTGGAAAAAAAAAAGACAAGAAAGTAATCAATTCTTTCTGCAGGTGGGCCATGAAGGAAGTGTGAGAGAGAAGAAAGTAGCTGGAAGGTAAACAACTTTCCTTTCTTAAGCACACTGCAACAATCATATCGTTCACCTGCTCAGGGGGATGGTATATCTCTGTAGCTATCTTTAACACTGTTATTTGGAATTCCATGATTCATCATTACCTATTACTTTCCTTTCATTACCCATCATTACCTATTACTTTCCCTCTAGCCTATCCATACCAGCCTGAACATACCATCCAACAAAAACGAAATATGGTGATATTGATCAAAAAGTTGGAGTAAGAAAATAATCAGAGATGCTCAGAATGTGAAGAAGGGACCTATCACCCAATTGTAAAGAAACAAACAAACAAAAAAATAAATCAACAAACATTTAATCAGAAACCACAAAGATTTTATAATGTTATTAAAGGATCATCTTGAAGTGCTACAGCACTGCTTACTTCTTGTCGTGTTCTGATTCTTTAAATGATACAGGATTGTACTCTGTGAACATCCCAAGGGCATTCTCCTTGTAGTGATAAAATTGACCTTGTCATTTAACCATGTGTTTCCTTTCTGAACATAAAGTTCAGAAAAAGCAGGATTGCCAGTATCACATAAAAGTATCCTGGTGCTGTTGCTATAATGGCTTTCAAATACTGATGAACTGCTAAAGAAAGATGAGACTAGGGCCGGTACATTTTTATTATGTTCCCCAAACACTCTCCAACATTTAGAGACCACTGCAATAATATTCTTTGTTGTGCTCCAGGAGAGGACTTCCACATAACTCATTCTCATGGGCTAGAGAGATGACTCTTTTCTCCAGCCCCTTATCTGTGGGAATCTGATTAACTCTCTTTCTTCCCTGACTTTTGAACATGAGTTAAGATCATTTGGGAAGCAGAGTAAAGATTTCTATATCCAGAATCTTTTGTCTTTCAGGGAGACTCAATCTATCATCAAAGTTCAAGCTCTCCTCAAAGCTCTACTAGAGTTTTCTCCACTCTACATCCAAAAAGGGGAAAAAAAGGTACCTGTAACATTTAGATCTGGAAATATGAGTTTCTAAGTCCTTAAAAAAGTGCAGCTGTTAATGACATACAGAAGATGCAGTCTTCTAAGCACCTTCTGTGTAACCCTTGCAATCTAGGTTCCTATACTTCTGTCCAGGTTTTGGCAACAAAAAACTTGTAAGAAGAAAGGCAAGCTAATCTTTCCAACCTAATCTTTCCAAGCTAATCTTTACATCAGATCACAGTTTAAGTGCCTGTATACCTCTCTTGTTCTTCCTTCTCCAGTCGTTCTTTCTCCTCTTGCTCCTTCTGCAGCCGAACCTGACGTCTCTTTTCAGTGAGGATCTTTGCAGCCTCCTCTGCATCAGTGGTGCCTGCTGTAGGTTTTCCTGAGTCAGTCAGACAAGTGGTAGCAAAAAGAATGACCAGGGGAAATGAACACAGTGAGTTCATTCTCACAGAACTGGACACTAAGCTATTTAACTCAGTGTGGTAATGGCAAACACTGCAAAGGAGGGTTACAATTAGTCACTGAGCAGAAGAAGCCGCAGTGGGCTAGCTGTGTAACCCTGCATGTGGGGCAGGAAACAGTTAAGGGCAGAGCTACAAACAAGTTCCACAACACTACCGTATGAATAAACTCACTGCATGCCAAAGACTTTAAGGACTTAAGCTAGTGCTTTGTCATACAGCAGTGCACATACAGGCTGTATGCAGCCCATATTAGCACTCCTATGAAATCCCACAGCCGTAAGGCCCAGGTCTCCTAAAAAACAAAGGAGAATTCAAAAATGTTGAGCTAGCCTGAAAAAAAAACACAAAACAAACAAACAAACAAACAAACAAACAAAAAAACAGCATAAGGGGATGACGTTGTCCTGAGGGGAAACACCTTATCCTCAGAACCATGAGAGAATGGCAAATAGATAAGGACAGAGAGAGAACTATGAGAGGAAAGCCAAGGCTAACTGGCAGCATCAACAGAGGTTTACCTGCATTGTGCTCAGCCTTCCCTCCAGTGGCAGAATGCTTCTCAGTTGCATGTTTATCAGCTACAAACTTCACAGCGGCATTCTTGTCAACCATGTGCTTCTCCAGGGTTTCTTCTCCGGGTAGGCCAGTGGTCTGCTGACCAGTGGCACCTTCCTTTTCCTTATTAGTCTTTTCCTTCTCTGCCTTCTTGTTGAGTGTGTCTTCACTGGGAATGGGGGGAAAGCGAGGCTTCCCAGGAAACCCTACATATGGAGGCTTTGCTGTCTTCGGAGACTGTGGGGATCCTTTTGAAATTGTCCTGGAAAACCAAAATTAGGCACAATAGGTAGTGAGCTTGACCACAGAACTTTTCATAAGAAATTTTGTTCAAAGAAACTGAATAACTTAACCCTTCTATAGAAAAAAAAAAAACCTGTAGGTTTTAGAATATACTCCCTAAACTCATCCCAAAGAAATACATGGTATCTGTAAGATGTCCCTGGAAGAAAGAGAAATATTTTAAGAAATCCAGCTGGTAATACTATGTCCTAAATTCATTTATGTTTTGAGACAATGTTTAGGATGGTAACATGGTTTGGATATGTATGGGTATGTGGGTGGGTAGGATGTGTGTGTGTGTGTGTGTGTGTCCATGCACATGCCATAGTGTACATGTGAGGCCAGAGGACAACTTTAAGGAGTCAGTTCTCTCCTTCTACCTTTACATGGGCTCCTGGCACCAAATTCAGGTTTCCAGACTTGGATGGCAAATTCTTTTACACAATGAGTCACCTCACCGTCAAAACTACACTTTCTGGGACTAGATTATTTACTATACAGAGTTAGAATATGGACCAGCTTTCCCTGCCTCTCACACATGTGACATTTCTTATGTGCCCACTTTTCTTTTCTACCATGCAGTATGAGTACCTCACTAGAAGTCCAACAAATGCTCTTCAACTACTATGCCTCCAAAAACTCTGATCCAAAACAAATCTCTTTTCTTTATAAAACAACAAACTTCAATTATTTTGTTATTACAATACAAAACAAGTAAGACAGGTTATTGGGCATTTCCTATATCCTCTTTTTAGATAAACACTAGAATTCAGTTTTGTTTCAACATATGGCAATAGACAACCTGGCTTTTTTTTTTATTTCAAGCTTTGTTATTGGGAAAAAAACACATACCAAAATTAACCAGACCCGAAGACTGTACAGCTCAGTGAACTTCTTTACAGTTAGAACCACCATTTGGAAGAGAAGCTAGGTAACTGGCTCTGTGTTTTAAAACTGTGATAAAGACCTATAACAAGTCATTAGGAAGGATCTCATGCATGTATGTATCCAGGCTGGTCCTCAACTCACTATGTATAGCGCACTGGACTTGAACTTCAGATCCTCCTGCCTTGGCCTACCAAATGCTAGGAGTACAACACTGAACCACCTCTCAGCCTATTAGAACCATCTTTAAAGGAACAGCTGTGAAACAGTAGGGATATTCGTATTGTTGTATAGCAATTACTACCATCCATTTCTATGAAGCAACCCCCCATTCTCTCGGCCCCAGGCAACCACTATTCTAATTCTACTTTCTATCTCTATGAACTTGCTTATTTAAGGCATCTTACTCATTAGAGTGAGTGGAATCATATATGTGTCCTTTTGTGTCTGGCTTATTTAAGTAAGCACAACACTTTCATGTTCCCTGTTCTTTTTTGTTTTGTTTTATTGCTTTGAGAGGGTCTCACATAGCCTCAGCTTGTTGCAAACCTGCTATGTAGCTAAGAATAGCCTTGAACTCAACCTTTCTACCCCCACCTCCCAAATACTGGAATTACAGGCAAGCACTCCTCTGCCTGCCACAATTATGCATGCTTTTTAAAAACTTCATGTGTGTGTGTGCGTGTGTGTGCGTGTGTGTGTGTGTGTGTGTGTGTGTGTGTGTTGTGCACTCAAGTATAGATCACAAAACACCCTGCACTCCATAATGTGGGTTCCAGGGAATCTAACTCAGGTTTTCAGCTTTAGTGAACAAGCACCTTTAACCCACTGAGCCATCTCACTGGGATCCCAGCATGTTCTTTTTAGAGTTATCAAAAAGTAAACACTCAGTGGCTACTGGATATTGGTGATGTTTTAACAGATAATAAAATAAAAGTCTGAATGATTCTCTTAAGATAAACATGAGCCAGAGTGAAATGCGTTATGTTTTGGGCTTCTTTGTGTAGCCTTGGCTGTAGACCAGGCTGGCCTCGAACTCACAGAGATCCATCTGCCTTTGCCTCCTTGAGTGCTAGGATTACAAGCAGGTGCCACCAAGCCCAGCTGATCACTTTTTTTTACCCAAAATGAAAAATTAATGTTATTTTTACCACATTTCCTTTAATAATAATAATTTTATTAACAACTGTATTATTAACATTGTCATTATTATTTACAACCTATTCACTTTGTATCCCAGTTGTAGCCCTCTCCCTCATTTCCACCAGGTCCCACCTTCCCTCCTTCTTCTTCCCCTATTCTTCTCCCCTAATGCACTGATGGGGAAGTCCTCCTCCCTTCCTGTCTGACCCTAGCCAGTCAGGTCCCCTCAGGACTGCCTAGATCCTCTTCCTCTGTGGGCTGGCTAGATCACACCACCAGGGAGAAATGAACAAGAAACAAGCAACCAAGATCTTGTCAGAGACTGTTTCTTCTCTCATTAAGAAATGATAATAATAATAAAAAGAAATAAATTTCTAATTTTAATGAAAAATATGGTACATTTATACAATAGAATACTACTCAGCTACTAAAAACAAGGAAATAATGAAATTTGCAGGCAAATGGATGGAAAAGATCATCCTGAAGCAGAAAGACACCCATGTTATATACTCACTTATAAGTGGATATTAGCCATATAATATAGGATAAAAATACTAAAATCTATAGACCTAAAGAAGCTAAATAACAAGGAGGATCCTAGGGAATATGTTTCATTCTTATTTAGAAGGCAAAACACTGGAAGCAGTAGAGGAGAGGGAACAGGACAGGAGCCTATCACATATGTCCTCTAAATGCCTATATTGGTGACTTGGATTCAAACTGTCTGAAAAGATCATCCTGATTAAAATATCCCAGAAGCAGAAAGATACACATGGTATATACTCACTTATAAGTGGATATTAGACATATAATATGGTATAAACATACTAAAATTTGTATACCTAAAGAAGCCAATCAAGAAGGAAGACCCTGGGTAAGATCAATCCTCTTTCAGAAAGGCAAATGGGATAGATATCAGAAGAGGGAGAAAACAGGCAACAGAACAGGAGCCTACCACAGAGGGCCTCTGAAAGACTCTGCCCAGCAGGGAATCAAAGCAGATGCTGAGACTTACAACCAAACGTTGGGTAGAGTGCAGGGAATCTTATGAAAGAAGGGGAGATAGAAAGACCTGGAGGAGACAGGAGCTCCACAAGGAGAGCAACAGATCCAAAAAGTCTGGGCAAAGGAGTCTTTTCTAGACTGATACTCCAATCAAAGACCATTCATGGAGATAACCTAGAACCTCTGTACAGATGTAGCCCATGGCAGTTCAATCTCCAAGTGGGTACCCTAGTAAGGGGAACAGGGACTGTCTCTGACATGAACTCAGTGGCTGGCTCTTTGATCATTTCCCCCTGATAGGGGAGCAGCCTTACCAGGCCACAGAGGAAAACCATGCAGCCAGTCCTGATGAGACTTGATAGGCTAAGGTCAGAGGGAAAAGGAGAAGGACCTCCCCTATCAGTGGACTTGGGGAGGGGCATGAGAGGAGATGAAGGAGGACAAAGGGATTGGGAGGGGATGGCAGATGGGGCTACAGCTGAGATACAAAGTGAATAAACTGTAATTAATAAAAAAAATAAAAGAAAATTTGGAAAAAAATACTCCAACCAGCAGGAGATTGAAGCAGATGCAGAGACACAGCTAAACGTTGGACAGATCGCAGGAAGTCTTATGGAAGAAGGGGAATATAGAATGATCTGGAGGAGACAGGAGCCCCACAAGGAGAGCAACAAAACCAAAGAAGCTGGGCACAGAGGACCCTACAGACACTGATGCTTCAACCAAAGACCATGAATAGAGAGGAACTAGACCCTTGCCTCAGATGTAGCCCACAGACACAGTTCAGTCTCCAGGTGATCATTTTTTTTTTTATTTTTGAATGCTGACTTTTATTACTTTATGTGCTTTTGTGGATGTGTTACATCTGGATAATACAGTACATCTATCCATACATTTTTAAAAATTTTTTAAAAATTTTTTATTAATTACACTTTATTCATTTTGTATCCCCCCATAAGCCCCTCTCTCCTCCCCTCCCAATCCCACCCTCCCTCCCCTTTCTGCATGCATGCCACTCCCCAAGTCCACTGATAGGGGAGGTTCTCCTCTCCTTTCTGATCTTAGTCTATCAGTTCTCATCAAAAGTGGCTGCATTGTCCTCTACTGTGGCCTGGTAAGGCTGCTCCCCCCCTCAGGGGGAGGTGATCAAAGAGCAGGCCAATCAGATTATGTCAGAGGCAGTCCCTCTTCCCATTACTATGTAACCCACTTGGACACTGAACTGCCATGGGCTACATCTGTGCAAGGGTTCTAGGTTATCTGCATGAATAGTCCTTGGTTGGAGTATGAGTCTCTGGGAAGTTCCCTGTGTTCAAATTTTCTTGTTCTGTTGCTCTCCTTGTGAAGACCCTGTCCTCTCCAGCTCTTGCTATTTCCCACTTCTTACATAAAATTCCATTCACTCTGCCCGACAGTTGGCCATCAGGCTCAGCATCTGCTTTGATAGTCTGCAGGGCAGAGGCTTTCAGAGGCCCTCTGTGGTAGGTTCCTAGTTTGTTTCCTGTTTTCTTCTTCTGGCTTTCAGAAGCCCTCTGTAGAAGGTTCCTAGGTTGTTTCCTGTTTTCTTCTTTTTCTGATGTCCATCCTCTTTGCCTTTCAGGATGGGGACAGGTGATATTCTTAATAGAAAGTTTTGAAGTCTGAAATGCTCCATATTTCAAAGCTCTGTGAGCATCATGCCACTGCTCAAAAATTTCAAATAGTCAGATCAAGGTTGCTTAACCCATATAATGTCTATGCAAGCACCCCCAAGCCTAAGCAACTCTAAAATGTGAAGCATCCAAGTAGTCCTAATGAACTAAGACAGACACATACTGAAAACCTGTTGTACAACAAGAAATAATGACAGTCCCCAGCCTAAAGCAGTTTTGAGGAAGACCACTAACTGAATATAAAATTCAGATACAATGCAAATGAGCTTCGGGTTAACAAGGCTCCAATTGAGGCATGCCAACTCTTTCATGCAAGTTTCCACTCAAATATTACATTGAGAGAATATACTCAAAGTACATTTTATACTTGCACGAATGAAGATGACCTTATGTAAAACCCCGAATAGAAAAACGTCTGAGTAAACTGGGCATGGGGGCAGACACTGTAATCCCAGCCACTGAATAATTTGAGGCAGGAGGATTATGACTCAAGGTTTTCCTCAGCTTCAAGACACCTTGTATCAACTAACAACAATAAAAACCTCTAAAAGACCAAAAAAAAAGTTTCTATTTTTCCATATTAAAACCACATTGTTCCTTCTTTCTTAATATCTTAAATTCATACCTTTCTACTACACTACTGGATTGAGTTGTTACTAAACTACTCTTTTATTTATTATTTGTGTGTGTGTGCATGATGGGCAGATATGTGCAATGGTACAACCTGTAGTAGCCAGAGGACAATTCTCCTTCCCCTTTTAAGTGGGCTCCAAGTATCAATCTCAGGTAGCCAGGCTTTTGTGGCAAGCACCTTTAGCAACTAAACCATTTCATTGATCCTTCACTGAATTACTCTTGTCAATTACTGTTGGTAAAAATTTTAGTAACTTAGGACAGTGATCATAAATTTGTTTTTTATTTATATTCTCTTTGTTGAGTTTATCCCTACTAAAAGTTATGTGTTCTATATGAAAATGTTGTTATGTGTGGTAACATATACCTATTGTTCCAACACTGTAGGAGCAGAGGCAGAAAGATCAGTCCAAGGCCATCCTTGGTTACATGAGACTCTGTCTCCAAAACAAAATTGCTAATCACCAATAATAGGAGATGGTGAGCAGGTGCCCACACACCATGTAATCCCTTCAATAAAGAGCTAAACCTGGTCCATCAAAAGAGAAAGGATAATTCCAGAGAAAATAAAGACAAGAAAAATGGAATTTAAGGTTCCAAAGAGAAAATGGTGAACATATCATACCAAGCAACAAACTTATAAATGGATGGTCATCATTTATCCAGAAGAAACATAACCATGTAGGCACATACCTGAAAGGTGGGCATTTGTCTTGCTCACCCCTTCTTGTTGGTCATGCTTTTAGCAGAACAGAAGCAGCAATGCTGGATGAAACTAAACTAAGTTAAACTGACTAGCCATCAGAGTTCTGGCAAGGGAAGATATGCTTACTTGGATTTCACAGGAGAAGATGAGTTCTTAGTAATGTCTTTAGGAGACTCGCATCTTCTCAGTGGGGACCCAATAATCCCGGAGGAAGCAGAAGATGTCACTCGTCCCTTCTTCGTTTTCTCCACCTGTAGAGGTCAAGGAATATGATAACCACAGTCCATGACTGGCACTACTTCTTTTTTTATTATTAATTACAGTTTATTCACTTTGTATCCCTCCTGTAGCTCCCTCCCTCCTCCTCCCCTCCCAGTCCCACCCTCCCTCCCTCTTCCCCACCTGTGTACCACCCCTAGTCCACTGATAAGGGAGGTCCTCCTCCCCTTCCCTCTGATCCTAGTCTATCAGGTCTCATCAGAAGTGGCTGCACTGACTTCATCTGTGGCCTGGTAAGGCTGCTCCCCCCTCAGGGGGGAGGTGATCAAAGAGCAGGCCAATCAGTTCCTGTCAGACAGTCCCTGTCCCCATTACTATGGAACCCGCTTGGACACTGAACTGCCATAGGCTACCTCTGTGCAGGGGTTCCAAGTCATCTCCATGAGTGGTCTTTGGCTGGAGTATCAGTCTGAGAAAAGACCCCTGTGCCCAGACTTTTTGGATCTGTTGCTCTCCTTGTAGAGCTCCTGTCCTCTCCAGGTCTTACTATCTCCCAATTCTTTCATAGGATTCCTCGTACTCTGCCCAAAGTTTGGCTATGAGTCTCAGCATCTGCCTCAATACCCTTCAGGGTAAAGCCTTTCAGAGGCCCACTGTGGTAGGCTCCTGTCCTGTTCCCTTTTTCTCCCTCCTCTGATGTCCATCCTCTTTGCCTTTCTGAATGGGGATTGAGCATCTTAGGACTGGCACTACTTCTATAACTGAAAAACTATCCCATATAGGACTGATACCATACAGAAGTATCAATATAAAGGCCCAAATCTTCATGTGACATGAATCCTTGTAGAAATTTGTGATACTGTGAGATCATTACATTTAGGTCATCAAGTTAGAAATTATTATTTTGTGCCTCAACATGGAGATCCTTTGCCCTGCAATTTGTTGTCTTACCAAGAGGTAAGAAGCAACATAACCATATTGTGGCCCTAAACATATAGGAACTGGAAAGAATACAAAAACATACACTTCTAGCTCAGAAGCCTCTGGGCTCTGGGTCTGAAGTACATGGTGTTTTTAGTAATAGGGACTTACTTTCCACCTCTGGGAGACAACCAAGGCAAAGAGAAATAACCTATAACATTTTGGGAGCCTTTTGGACAACCTTAATTAACATCTCAAAAGAGGGCTATCTCATACTTGGTTATGTACTTAGGAATGAATAATAATATATATTATATATTAATACACATACATATAAAGATACATATATATATATATGTAACAACAATTAATTTAAAAAAGAAGCCATGAATTTGAAAGAGAGCAAGAAGTATATGGGAGAGCTTGGAGGAAGAATTGATGTAATTATAATCTTAAAAAATAAAATAATTTGAGGGGGGCACAGCCAGGATACAAAATGAATAAATTGTACTAAATAATAGTAATTAATTTTTTTTAAAAATTAAAAAATAATTTCAATAACTTAAAACATTAAATTCAAACAAACAAAAATATACTTATTGCAAAACTTTTACCACAAGGTGATTTTAATATCCAAGATGCTCAGTTGTAAACTCTGAGGCATACATGTAATGTAGAGTGAAAAAACACACATTTCTCTCCATTTTTCACTTTACCTCTCTTGGCAGAAGGGAATGGGCATCACTGACTAGCCTATAAAAAGAGCTTCAACCTCTTTCCTTACTACACGATTCTGTAACAAGTACTCATTTTCCCCTACAAATGGCAACCTTCTTCCACAAATAATCCATCTTCCTGAAAATCTAAGAGTCCAAAGTACTATCTTCTATTTTAAATATCTCAGAGCACCTGTGAATTTGAAAAGAATATGTGTTTTTTTTTTCTTTTTTTTTAACAAAGTGTTCAACAGAGCCCAGGATTTAAGATAAGTGGTAGACTACTTATGTAATGTGTATAAGTTCCTGGATTTGCTCTCCAAGACTTCAGATAATAAAAATAATGAATAATGAACAAAACTAAAAAGTTCAATAGTAATATATAGTAATTTTAACATAAACTTTTATGTATGAACTGATACATAATCAACACAATTAATTATGTATATTGATTCATTCAATAGGTGGAACTCAATTTCCTTCCTATGAATATAGATCATAGCGACTTGCTTTTTGTGACCTGCATGACTCTTAACTCACAAGTTGGAAATTAAAGGCATTACAGTTTCGCTTTTGTAGCTTGTCTCTTGGATTGTTTGCTCTGGTAGAAGTCAGCCATTTTGTGCTCACTAGTAGGGTTGCAGAAAGGCTTATAGTAAGGAACTAAGGCTGTCCATCCTTCAGTAGCCCTGTAATGAATGTCTCACACGAATCAGGCCTTCAGATGGTACAGCCCTGGCCAGCATTTTAACTAAATCTTCATGAAAGATCCTTTACTAAAATTATCATGCTCTTAATTGAGATAACCTCAATTTCAGACCCAAGGAGCTTATGAGTAAAGACATATTTGTTGTAATGAGTAAAGACATATTTGTTTAATCTGTCAACATTTAGAGTACTTTGCTATGCAGCAAATGATAACACAAATAATATCACATATATAATTTCTAAATAAATATATAGAATTGCACGTACCTGCTCAACAGTCATTTTACTTGCAGTGTCTATATTACATAAAAACATTCAAAGGCTACTGTGAGTGAAGGCTCAACGAGAACAAAGCCTCAGTTTTGGTTGCATACAGAGGCAAGACTCCTAGAACCTAAAAGCCTTGAAGAAGCAGAAAGGAACCTTGCAACACTCATTCTGACTTGTGTCCTCCGGAAGAACGGGCTGTATTATTACAACAATATCATTGGGACTCTGCTATAAGACATAAAGATTTTGGGGATTGCAAAGTTCGGTAAAAACTTAAACCAAATGCATCCTCTAGTCCCTGAAGAGTGACAGAAAGAGACCCCAGGTCAATGGTGAAAATACTTACAGTGTCAGACAAACTACAGTATAGAAAAAAGTGAAAAGAGGGCATTTAAACTTACCAGTGAAGGTTCTGCTCCTGCCACAGCTTCCTTCCCAGTATCTCCCATGGCAGATGTAGGTGTACCTTTCTTTCTCTCAGTGGCCCGGGTTGGAGAGGACTTGTATAAAGATTTGACAGGGCTGCCAAGAACTAAATGAAAACAGGCATGGGGTACTAGAGAGTTACAGTTGTAATAGCCAAACAATACAAGAAACACAGATAGAAAACGCAAGAGAATCAGAGGTTGAAAAGAACTTACTTCTTTAAAAATGTCATGTTTAATCCACATTTTTGAAATATGCTTTTTCTACTATCCACAGGATAGATCTCATCTTGAATAAGACTGCCAAGATTCCAATGTCAAGTTCATTTGAGGGGATAATGCACTTTGGAGCTAAGCAGACTCTGCACTGCCATCTGATAGCTTGGTGACATTGGGCAGGGCACTTAGTGTCTCTAAGCCTCAATTTTATTATGCAGGAAGAACACACAAGTCCTGACTGCTGTCTTTGCATGTCTGCATACAAGGTTGAGCTTTGGCTACTACCTAGGACCTTAGATTTTAGTAAGGTTCATATCACTCACTGCTGAGTGCTAAAACAAAAAAACAAACAAATAAACCCCCAACCTGTTCATACAAATAATGAATTGTAAGTGTGTAAGGTCTGGGTATCTGCGTGGTAAAGAGTGCCTACATGACTAGTCCCTAGTAAAAACTAAGGGTATGAATAAATCTTTAGAGTGCTTCCTCTGTCAGCAATACTTTCTGTGCATTGCTAAATGAAGCATATCCTGTATGACTCTTTTAGGAGGTCCTTGGTAACTTACACCTGGTCTCCTCTACTTCTCACGCGCTCTTCCCTTTGCTAACTTGGTTGTACATCTTGGTTGTAATAAATCATTGCTATGAGTCCTCTGATAAATCACCGAACCCTGGTGTTCTTGGGGCTCTCCAGTAACAATTGACATCAGAAGTGGGAATTACTACAGTAACACCAATTCACAAAAATAAAGAAAAGAAAATTGCCTGGGAGGGGGAGAGTGAACCTGTAGTCCTTGTGTGGCTGTGATGTTGTCGGGCATGGTATAAAACAGCCAAGATGTTCTCTGCTATGAGAGGCGACAGTTGCCTACAGAATTTGAACATAACTACTGCATCTCCAAGAGTATTGCCTCATGGTATTCCTTGACTACTTTTTGGCCATGCTACCTAAACTGAGGTAAAAATCACAGTCAGGGAATAGTTTTAGTTTTCTCCTTCAATGGAAATGGAGAAAAAACAACAACAACAAAAACCAGCCTTTCCTTGGTTTTGTCATCAGTGGGTGGGTTGGAACCAAGTACTGAAACCAAAACAAATTTCAAACTAATTTTTGTTTTTTTAAACTATTTCTGTCTAAAATTAAGAGTCTGAAAAGATGAAATTTCCAGAAGAGATATACATTGTCATTTTAAACTTAACTAGGACTCCTCAAATACATCCCTCCTTAGGTCTCTATGTGAAACATCTGGAATACTACTGGACCACTTGGGTTACATATAAATGTTCACAGGGCAGGGTCTCTGATGGCATCATCCAAAAATTCCAAGCCACTCTTCAGTGCTATAATTTTCATGCAGGCCTGTCTCACATGAGTCAGGCCTTCAGATGGTATAGCCCTGGCCAGCATTTTAACCAAATCTTCATGAAAGATCCTTTACCAAAATTTTGATTGCAAAAGCTACAGTCTAAAAAAGGTTGTTAAAGTGCCATTTTTCTATTTGATTTTTAAAACTAGCTGTACTTTATATCAATGAACTATGGCCTGATTCTACTTACTTACCTCATCCTAGTACATACACCTAAGGTAAGTTCTTTGAAAATTTAGGATTTGATTCTTAATAATTTCTAAACATAATATGTCTTTCTGATTAAGCTGAATTAAATGTTTTTTCTATTTTCTTCTCCTCTTCTTCCATCCATAAAAATGCTCTGTCCTTTTTAAAAGAAGCTTATTCAAATGTAATGAATAATTGAGAAATCAAGTTTTGATTGGTTAATAAAATAAAAAAAATTCAGCTTATAGTGGCATGGGGGACACTGTCACTATATTTGTGATCTTTGTTTTCCAGAATTGCTCCTAGAAGTTCTCTTTTTTCAGAGGAAACTTTCCATGATGTCTTTGCAAGCTACTGTGACCACAGATTTTTGGGTCTAGACTGCACATGACAGTATGACTGAGGTAGCTGTGATGGGCCAGTTTTGGTATAGTTCTCATTCACATACTATTCACACTCACCAGATAGATAAGCCAGTGTTAATAACATTAGTGGAGCTTCAGGACTGATAGCCTCAGGCAGTCTCTCTGAATTCATAGGCTGAAATGAATTATTACCAGTGTACTAAGCCTCCTGGGGCAGTGAGAGAAACTACAGTGGGAGTTCACATAGGTGGATATGTCTCTTGATCAATGAATCTCCTGTTCTGAGTTCCCCAAAGTTCTCGGCTTCTTCTTCTTCTTCTTCTTCTTCTTCTTCTTCTTCTTCTTCTTCTTTTAACAGAAACTCACGAGCTCTCAAGAATTACGCTTCTTGTGCATGCCCATAATATCGTAACATTGCCTCCGACCTGAAGGTGGTCAGGTGAGCTTCAGCTTACTGGACAGAGCTGCGCAGGGGCCAGGTGAAAAAGCTTCAGAAGGGACAAGGAGGCAACATGGCTGCTTAAGACAAACCCTCTATGCTGGGTCTCTGAACCATGTCTGGGAATCTAAGACTCAGTCAAGGTTCCCAACATTAGCTGGTGAGTGGATGATTTATTGTGCCTTAAGCAATCCAAGTATCTTTCATTTCAACAGTATAGAATCTTGATACGTACTGGACAAGGGGTTCACATGGTCAAATCCCTGTAAAAAGTACCATCAAATATCTAACAAACTTTCCTGCCAGGCAACTCATTCTTGTCTGAAATCACTTCAGGAAACACATCCTGAGTTACTCTACTGGAAAGATTCTGGAAGCTTGTGCTTTGTCTTTCCTAGACTTTGTCCTTCATTTCTTTCCCCTTTATGGATTTTGTTATAAATATACCTGTATGTCAAATCTTCAGAGCAAATCACTAAAACTGGCCTCAGTCTTAGGTATCCCTGAAACATTTCTCCTCAAAATGAGGATTCTTCCTATTGGTTAAGAATTTAGGTTTGCTGTTGAGGTAGAATCAACATACCATATAACTCTCCTCTTTAAATGTCCAGTTCAGTGATTTTTAGTATATTCACAATCATAACCACAACCATAACTATAATTCCAAATCATTTTATGGCTCCCAAATGAAACCTTTTATCCATTAAGAAATAACTAACCTTTCTTCCTTTCTCTCCATGTGAAACAATCTACTTTTTGTCTCTATGGATTTGCACATTTCAGACATTTTATATAAACAGAATCATATGATTCATGGCATTTTGTGACTTCTTTCTTTTACTGATAGTTTCAAACTTCATCTATTGAGTATCATCTATCAGCATTCCTTTCTTATTTAAAGCTAAATATTGTACTTTATAGGTATACTTCATTTTTTATACATTCAAATTGTTTTCACTTGTGGCTACTGTAAATAATGCTACTAAAAACATTTACCTTTGAAATGTTTTTAATATTTCCGGCTCTATATCCAAGAGTAGAATTGCCAAATCACATCATAAACATAGTGAGACATACTGGCAATCTCAACACTTGGGAGATAGAGGCAAAAGGATCGGGAGTTCAAAGCCAGCTTCAGTTGCTTTAGTGAATTTAAAACCAGCCTAGACTACATGAGATCTTGTCCTCCCCCAAAAAATAATTAATAAGAATAGATCCTATGTAACTTGATATAATTTTCAGTGAATACACTGTTTCTTGAGAATGGAGTCCAGATTCAGCCTTTGTATGGACACTGTGCTGTTCATCTACAAATAAATAAAATGTTTGCCCTCCTAAATCTTGGTTTCATGTTATAATCTTATTTAGTAAAGGAAGGCCACTGATGGTCTGGTCCAGTGTTTCTCAGACTTTAACATGCAGGTGAGGGAGGACCTCAGAGCTGTCTTTCTCATTACTGGTCCATGGATCACATTTTGAGTAGAAGGCTCTAGATGTTTGTTAAGCTCTTATGCTGTGCCAACTACTGTGTTATTTTATTTATACTATGATATCATTTAATCCTCATGATAATTTAATATTAAAGTTTTGAGACATGGTCTCGCTATGTTGCCCAAACTGTCCTCATCATGATCTTCCTACTTAGGCCTCCTGAGAAGCTGCATTATAAGCATTTACCACCATACATGGTTTTTATTACAATAAATGAAAACAAAATCTTCCACTTTCTATATGAGCAATAATGAATGGCAGAGCCAGCAGTGGTACTCCAGGGAGAAAGAAAGATCTATATACCAATCTATTCAAACTATCTCCTAAGAAAAGTCTACTAACCTCTATAGCCCATCAAGTTCATTTTCCACCTAATTCACATGTCACCAGTAAAAAAATAATTTATTCCCCTATATATTATTCATCTTTAAAAACAAACAGCAACAGCAAAATACTATCAGGCAGAAAATGCTACTAACCATTGAAAGCATTTTCTAAAGCCAGTAAATGAGAAGCAAAATGCAAAAGTTCAGGAATTAATCCAAGGCTGATCAAAACAGTTTCCGGCATTTTCTTTGACTTCACAACTTGGCCTCTTTTATCTGAGTCACTGGCCTGCTCAGAGAGCATGTATGTACTTCCGTTTCTGGCTAAAGAAGCCTGGGTGGTTTCAGCAGTCTTGAAACAAGAAAAGTTTCCATGGAACTAAGGTGCATGTGGTGAGCTGAGGGGCAGAATCAAATTTTTAAAAAGCAGAAATAAAATAAAAGAAAATAATGTTTAAACAAGATAGTGAATGATGGCATTTAACATTTTGGTGGCAGAACAAATCTGGAAATAAAAATAATTCTAAAAAAGAATAGTTTGGGGGTTTGTCCTGCTAAACCCAAACAAATAAAACATTACTTAAGAGTTTAGGAAAATTCATTCATTCTCTTATGACATCAGAATTAATTCAAAACACTATTACAGTGACCCTAGCTATATGTAATGGTATGCACCTCATTTGTGGACTGAAGCAGGAGAATTCAGTAAGAATCTAAACAAACAAACAAAAAAAACAAAACAAAAAAAAAAAAAAAAACCAAGCATAAGACCTGTATTATATGAAGAGAATTAACCCCCTTTCCAAATTTATATGGACTCACTTACTAACTAAATACATCTAACACTGGAAAAAGAAAGATCATGCCTACAAAAAAAAAAAAAAAAAAAAAAAGGCTTTCTTGGAGACCTGCTCTTTTCTGAAGAAGAAATGGAAGGAAAGTGGATCTAAGGAAAAGGGGAAGGGGAGGGCTGGGAGGACTGGAGCGGGAGGAAACTGTCGTTGGGATGTATTGTGTGAGAAAAGAATCTATTTTCAATACAAATACAAATTTAAATATATAAAATATTTTAAAACAGTGATTTTAAAAAATGCAAAGTACCATCCTATGAAGGTATAAAAATAAATGCTGTCCTATCTTTTTATGAATTTTTAAAGTAAGGGAAAATTACACAAAAACCATGAAAATAATGGCCAACAAATTACTGGATTTAATGGAAAACAGTAGGTAGAAATCATGATCCAAAATTCAATGACCACTAGATGTGATGATTTACACCTAGCACTTGGGAATAGGGGTAGTAATATGAGGAGTTCAGGACAATCTGGAATATGGAATGAGATCCTGCCTCAAGCAGAAAAGCGCAAACAACAAACACTCAAAAAAATGAGAAGAAAAAACAAAATCCAACAGCTAAAATGTTTTAGTTTGGGAATAAAATATATGGCAATAGAGATTGTTTGGATGTCTATTTAGTAAATGGTATGGAAATTAAAATTTTCTGTTTAGAATGGCCATAGAGTTAAAAGTATTAAGTATTTTCTCTTCAAACTCTTCCTTCGTTCCATCTTTCTAGTGGCTACCAATAAATGGGCATCAGAAAATCAGCGGCATTATGACACATATGTGTACTCTGCTACACATATCATGGGTCTAGGATGGAGGAATAAAGTCAATGCCAGCGAATGACAACCAAAAAGGACCATCAGCCTCTTCCAAGTCACAACCCTCTTCCTGCTTACCCCTTGGTGATGACCTGACAACCTCAATAGTGTTCTAGTACCTGACTTTCCTTCATCAGTGCTTTAGGATATGCATGTTACACGAGAAGAGGGCCCTCTTTTGTAACTTATCTACAGTAAAAGACAAAAATTCAGGTCTCTAATGACTCTTCTGACCCTCCATTAGAACACAGATGCTGTTTTATCTACTCAGGTTCTGAAAATAGTATATGTCCCTATATAGAGACTGTCTCCCAAAACAGAATACTGACTAAAAAGTCCACTGATCTTTTCCCTTTTTGAAAAAGCATCCTCATATTATTTCCGTACTTCTGTTTCTCTGTTTTCATTTATAAAATGGGCAGCCCTACAAAAACTATGAATGACTTTAAAGTCCCAGTTTTTCCATGTTATTAAGTCCTCCAGATAAGTCTAATCAATTCTCCTCTGGCTAATCAATTATATTACAGGACTGAGCCAGCAGGAGCTAAAAAAACAAACAAACAAACAAACAAACAAACAAAACTCCTCCATGCTCTATGGAATAAGTTCTTGCAGGCTGGGAGAATATCAACTCTGACTGATCAATAATGACCTTTCCTTATAGAACAATACCACTTTCCAGATCCTGTTAGACAGACCCTAGAGGTTAGGACAGTGGTAAGATTTACAGAAAGCTTGAGAGGAGGCTTTCACAAAGGACAATGTTAGGATGCTCACACCAGAAAGAAGCAAACTGGAGAGACAAGGTCTACCCATTCACTTGCCTCGGTCTGGGGAATAAGATATTGCCACGGTGGATGAAGACAAGCGTTTACTCATGGGAGGCTCCGGCTGCTTTGGCAAATTCATGGCTGAGGCTGAAAGTTTGCCACATGCTGCAGAGAAATGCATTAAAGTCATTGGTTTTCATATCACTGTAGCCTGTGCAATCATATCTCCAAGTGTCCTTCCTGTCCTCATCCACACACATCCAGTGGTTTTCCACTGCAGCACAGCACACTGCTTCCATTTTCCTTATCTTGACACATCCACTAATGCAGCCACTGATTTTCAATTTCTTCACTGTGCTCTTCTCTAATTTAATTTAAATGTTCAAACACTCAGATACTCAACTAAAACCATGCTAATCCCACCTAGTGTTTTCTTGCGTACATATCAAATAAAAATAGAACTAACTTAGACCCAAGGACAATTGTTCTTAGAAATAGCCAACATCTTGACGAAAACTGTATGTGCTGAAACAGAACTTTTCCTGATGGTTATTTGAGGCTTAAGTTGAAAAGAGTATGTAATTTGTAATGTAAGGAGTTGTGTTTAAAGAAGCACTAACTTTACCAGTTGTAGATTTTCTTTCTATTTTTAAGAGATAGCACCTTTTCTGCGGCTCTTCTGCAAATGCTTTAACAGTATAGTAAAACTTTAAACACTGACCCTAGATTTGGTGTTCTTTTGTTCCAGTCACTGTTTTAGATTGGCTTCTAAATGAAATCATTACAGCCAACAGAAAAGTACTGACTGTCCTGTGAAGCTATGTCAGAACCTAAGGCAAAAGTAAAACTGCACACATTGCTGTCAAGGAAGCTAACTCCTAATATTTTCAAAATTTTGAAAACTCATGTTTTCAAATGTTCCTCATATTTGACAATTTTTGCTGACCAGGTGACAATCTTAAAAAATTTTAATTAAGTTAAAATCAAACACATTTTAATTGAGGATATATAAAATACTTATACTTGAAATGATGTCTTGGATTTTTAACATTCCCACTCTTCAATTTTTTTCCAAGATAGGCATTTCTCTGTGTAGCCTTGGCTGTTGTAGACTTGCTTTGTAGACCAGGCTGGCCTCAAATTTACATAGATCTGCCTGCATCTGCCTCTCAGAGTGCTGAGATTACAGGAATGAGCCACTGCTCCCAGCTCCCACTCTTCAGTTTTTATTTACTTTAACTTTCTGGAAAAATAAGCAGCCACTAGAAACGATAAAACTATGTATATAACTGTACACATTTTCCCTTTTGCCTCTGGCTCTAATATGGCTTGGCATAGCACTAGTACTTGGAAACTCAGTATTTGGTTTGGGGATATTGCTCAGTGGTAGAGTGCTTGCTTAGTATAGGTTCCCTGATGAAACACAGGAGAGGAAGAGAGGGGAAGTCAAAGGCAATTCATTATTCTGTTTAACATGGATTTTTCTGTGGTTTAATTTTTATAAATACAACATTAAAATATTATTTCATCTTGATATTTTTGGCATTCCCATAGGTTGTATGTCTGAGTCACTCGCCTCACCTTGTTTCGAGCTTTTCTACTGGGAAGATGGAGTCTCAACCCATAAAGCAAAATCTGTACTACTTAGGACTACCAATAAGAATATTCTGTGTCAAAAAATGCCAGAAATAAAGACACTTATTCCTACTATTAAGATGCCTCTCAATATTTCTGATAAGTATCACATACCTTCTAGATCTCATTTTCATTTTCCCAGTCAAAATTACACAACATTTCTAAAGTCATTATTAAATGAGAACAAAGTTTTGCTAGATCTGTTCTTATTCTAGACCATAAAATTTCCCAGTTGTGTATTTTCCATGTACTGTATCTTTTACACAGAGAGATGGAGTCTGGCACAAAGCCCAGTTGTCTCATTATGTGTATTCTTCCTGTTAGTAGTGATAAATTCCCTGCCTGCCTCTCAAACCCTTCTCCAGAAATCCATTACATTAACAAACCCAAGGATTCTATTCAGAAATCAGTATGATTGCTGGTTTTTCACCAGAAGTAATGAAAGTGCATTGCTCCTTGATATCTAAAACAGGATGACTGAGACTGTTAAATGCCTAAATGGATAAAAGTAAAATACTGATGAGATTTTATAAAGACAGAAGTTAGTGAGCTGAGGATGAAATGTCTCCAGGACACTAAGATATAAGGCATGCAACTCTGTTATAACAAAGGAACAAAAACATATGAGCATGTTGTTCACAGTTCTAAGGGGAAAAGTCATGACAAGTCAGACTAAGAAATCAATTGTGAAAATGATTTCACTTTTGAGTGATTTCACAATTGAGACATACACAGTTATCACAGAACACTATGTATGGTAGAGTATACCGTTGGTGGACTCGGCAGCAGCTGTAGTGGTCCCTGTGTCCGAAGGGAGGGTGCTGGCTGCTAAAGTTAGAGGAGGGGGTGGGGTATTTTCTGATTCACCTACACAGGAAAAAAAAAATCAGAGCAAAGAGAGGTAAAAAAAGAAAAAAACTTCCAATTTGTTGTTGCATTTAAGTTTCTAATAAAGAAATTAGAAAAATAACAAATGAGTTATTGATTTTTCCAAAGAAAAGAAAAAGAGTATTCACTGCCAAATGGTTAAAAGCACAAGATGGCAAAGTTAAGAGACCGTAATTTAAACATCTGCTCTCAGAAAGAGGTAGTCACAACTCCTGCATAATACTGAGATCAATGAAATATACTATGACATTGAAAAGAGGGAAAAGTCATCCTGATATTAGTAATAATCCATACTTTAGGCCTTTGGAAATTTAAAGATGATATGAATTAGATAATGAAATAAATAAGTTGCTTTAAAATAAAATTAAAAAAGCAACAAAAAAAAAATCAAAATGAAGGAAAACGTCCAGCCCTTAGAGAGTAACTGCCATGATTTTTCCAGTCACATCTAGAGCTGTGACTGTGCCTCTCCTGAAATGAGATTATTTTTGGACCTGTGTGTGCCCAGTCCAGCTACCAGGCTCTGTATTTATTTTATTTGCTTTTCTTTTGCTCTTTTCCAAAACCCAGTATTCATGCTTCAAGCATCTGATAGCAAGAAGAATGACAGCTCCTCTTTATGAGAAACGTATACACATACAGGAAATGTTTCAGTTTAAACATCTGAAAAGGTGCCTATAAAGCTGTGCACAGGATCTTCCAATCCTGCAGACATGCTTGTCATCTCCCATAGGGGTCCTGCAATGCACAGATAGCATTAGACTCACCTCCAGGCCCTGAGGCCGATAATCCTCCCCATGAATACTTCTTCTTCAGCTCTACCTGCTGTGTACGCTCTAGGGACCGACGCATCATTGCTTCCAGGCGCTCCTGCCCAATTCACGAAAAGCCAAAAGCATAGAATGTTAACAGTATCAACAACTCAGCTGCACTGAAGGGCTGCCTTAGTGCTCCGGAGGAGTCACTAAATGGGGCTGTCTATGCTCAGCATCCCAAACCTAGGATCCTGTACTCTCTTCACCACAGCAGTGCCCTTTGGTGGGGTGGAGAGTAAACAATACAGCTAGGCTAGCCAAGGACTGTGAATCTTGTGTCCCTTCCCCTCCCCTCCCTGGGGAGAAGCTGTTGCTATGCCAGCTCCATTTGCTTATGAATAATGCTCAATAAGCATTAACTCTTTCAAGCCTGTCTCCAGTCTTGTTAAGAGGACTGAAATTTGGTCCTAGTGCTAAATATAGCCTTTCTAATTGAACGCATAAAGCAGTCCTGATTTGAGGAAATGTAAAGTATAATTATAATTTTTCAGCCTTGTATATAGCTTTTGAGAACAGCACTTGACTTTGAAATCTACTTTATAAAACTCCATTTTCATCTTTGACCTGCATTTCTATATTGTAATAATTTTCTGCTCATATTACTCTTAAGATAGTACTGCACAATCCAAGTTTAACAAGGGTACAGAAACTTCTGGCTACAAAACAAAACACCCATTCTTTGCCTCTGAAAGACTCTACCCAGCAGGATATCAAAGCAGAGGCTGAGACTCATGGCCAAGCTTTGGGCAGAGTGCAAGGAATCTTATGGAAGAAGGGGGAGATAAAAAGACCTGGAGGGAACAGGAGCTCCACAAGGAGAGAAAAAAAATCTGAGACTGATATTCCAACCAAGGACCATGGAAGGAGATAACCTAGGACCCCTGCTCAGATGTAGCTCATGGCAGCTCAGTCTCCAAGTAGGTTTCCTAGTAAGGGGAACAGAGACTGTTTCTGACATGAACTCAGTGGCTGGCTCTTTGATCACCTCTCCCTCAGGGGGGTGCAGCCTTACAAGGCCACAGAGGAAGAAAATGCAGCCAGTCCTGATGAGACCTGATAAACTAGGGTCAGATGGAAGGGGAGGAGGACCTCCGTTACCAGTGGACTGGGGGAGGGACATGGGTGGAGAAGAGGGAGGGTGAGTGGGATTGGGAGGGGAGAAGGGAGGGGGCTACAGTTGGGATACAAAGTGAATAAACTGTAATTAATAAAAAATAAATAAATTTTTAAAAAAGTCAAGAAAAGTCCTCTAGTACACAATGATCCAGACACAATTGCCTGGTGGTCAGGGGAGGGAGGGGAAAAGGAGAGGAAAGGGGAAAGAAGAGGGAGAGGAAGAGGGGATTACAGGGAGAGAAGGGGAATGGAGAAGGAAAGAGAGAGAGAGGCAGAGAGCAAGCTATGCCTTTTTGTTTACTGCTTTAACTGTACTGTTCAGTACAGACCCAGAGGTCTGTCCACAGCAGGACTCTTCACAGTCTCCTTTCTACAAACAGATTTCTATATCCAAGCTAGGTGATCCCCCAAGGCCCTCTAAGAGTGGCCAGCCTTCAGTTGAGTGAAATTTTTGTTTAGGTAAATTCAGAAATGTCTTGTTTTGCACCCAGTTTGAGTTTTTATTAGCTACTGAGCAAGGACAGTATGAGAAGTTTAGCTGTGTCAACCCAACTTAAAGAGGTGATGCTACTCTCTGAAAAAACGACTTTCTTAGTTATTTGCTTAGCACAAGAAACAAGAGTTGATTTTTCTGTAAATCCCACCATCAAAGGCAATTAGTCAAGAAGCTACATCGAATGAAGATTAGATGAGAATACTGATGATTAGATGAGAATACAAAACTTGAGGTATCATAGGAATATGGAGCAAGGGAGAAATGCAAGGGAGAAAGGAGCTGACAGACCTTCTATGATCTTCAAAATATCAGACTCAGAAAATTAAGACTCCTGCAACACGTCCCAATAGGTTAGGGAAGCAAAATGGCCTATATCAGATGAATAATCTTTTTACTAAAGTATTTTCTTGGTTGACAGGAGACAGAACATGACAGAAAGAACTTAAATTTAGTACTGAGGGAAAAATTAAGATTCTATAGCCAGGTGTTGAACATTCAACAGACCTCATTGAGCTCTTCAAGAACCACAGAGTTGATCACAAAAGGCTTCCTTTAGAGAAGAACTTCCACAGTGCACAGCAATCCTCCTTCCATAAAGATCACTCATGAAAACATTGTCTATGCATCAGCAATATACTAACCCTGATGTGGTTAACATGTATAGAAAGACCTCAGGGTGGGAGCAAGTGACAAAGGCAAACATGCCTCCTTGGGTTGCTACACAACCTTAGAAAACCCAGCTCTCAGCATAGATCTAACCTGCCAAAACTGTGCCATGTTTTTCCTAGGAAGAAGAGAAAAGCAATTTCAGGTTGTACTCATGCGGACCAGGGGTCAGATAATATCCTCTACTGTGTTAGAGATTTAAAAAAAAAAAAAGCATAGAACCAGAAAACATCCAGAAATTAAACTACTAAAAATTAAGCTGTATGACTGTCCTCTGAGAGACTCCACGCAGTAGGAGAAGGAAACAGATGCTGAGTTCTACAGCCAAAAGAGCTCTGGAGTCTTGTGAAGGAGTGTGGGGAAGGATAGAAGGTCCCGGAGGGGACAAGAGCCCCTCAAGAGGACTAACACTGTCAGCTAACCTAGGCCCATAAGGACTAAAAGAGACTGAATCACCAACCAAAGAGCATGCATGGACTAGACCTAGGCCCACAACACATAGGTAATTGATGGACATCTTGATCTTCATGTGAGTCCCCTTGTAAGATGAGCAGGTACTGTTTATGATAGGGACTCTGTTGCCTGCTTTTCGATTACTTCCCCCTGGTAGAGCTGTCTTGTCTGGGCTCATTAAGTCCTGATTTGACTTGATGGGCTGAGTTGAGTTCGTAAGGGGATACTCCCTTTTTCTGAGGAGAAGAGGAGAAGAGGGAAGAGGGTGAGAGGGTGGGACTGGGAGGAAAGGAGGGAGGGAGTTGTGATTGGGATATAAAATGATTAAATTTATTAAAAAATAAGCTTTATCAGGACCAACCATCTAACATAATATCCCCTCATCCACAACGAGTATGAGACTGACTACATTAAATGCCTCCAACACTAATGTGATATAAAAGAAAATTATGCACAGAAATTGCCTCCAAATGGACCCTTGTGACACTGCAGGATATGCTGAACCATGAGAATCATCTAATGTGACACTTCACTGTGTTCCTTCCTGGAAGAAGTAGTTACAAGGTTTCTCTTGAATCAGCACTCTAGTAGGATGTCAAGAATTAAAATAGGAAGGCCAGAGAGAAAGGAGAAAAATTCTAGGTCATCAAGGAATGGAGGATGGGAAGAAAAAGGCAAGTCCAGTGACTAATGAATAACATACAGGCTAAGAACCGAGAAATCTATCTTAAAAGGCCCAAACACCTTCTCATACACTGGCTCCCCCTATCAGTACTGAGGAATAAACCTAGGAACACGTGTTGGGGAAGTGCTCTAACATTGAGATATACCCTCAGCCCTCTTTTTAAACTATTTACTTTGAGATAGAGTTTCATTAAATTGCTCAGGCTATCCTTGAACTTGTTCTATAGCTAAGGCATCCCGTGAACCTTTAATCTTCCTGTCTTAGACCTCTAAGTAGCTAGGATTACCAACTTGTAACACCAAGCCTATGTGAGTTTTGTTTTGTTGTAATTTTTTGGATATTTATTCAGAATATTTTTTATGTTTTATTGATACATGGTCTTATATAACCTGGGTTAACTTCAAACAGTCTATGAAGCCAAGGATAAACTTGAACTTCTGAACCTTCATCCTCTATTTCAATGAGACCAAAGCCAGCTGGAATAACTGGAGAGACTCTCATACTTCTAATGATTACTCTGTACTAGATGCTTGCTGGACACTTTTCTAAGTCATCTACTTCAGTCCTGGTACCTTTGTTTGGTTCTGAGGAAATAGAGTTAGAGGGGGTTATATGACTTGCTCTAGCTGGCAGTTGCTTAGTGATAGGAATGAGGTATAGACTCAGAGCAGAAGAAGCCACAGCAATCAGATAGAAGCCAGCAACAGTGACCACAGGTAACAGGTTTGCTTAAACTTCTATCTGCTAGCAAAAACAAATAAATCACCACCAATAAGTGCCACTTTACAAGTAAAGGTGGGTCTCATTATGTGTGGTTCAGCCCATGGTCAATGTTCATATGTCCTCTTTAAAATAAAAAAAAAAAAAAGAAGAAAAGAAAAAGTGGACTCTGGCTAGGGAAGCAGGTAGGCTAACTAGAGATCTATGCAGCTCCTTCTGCTCATCCAAATCCAATCCTCCAGTTTCATTCCCTGCTCTGCAGAATACCTGCTTCTTTTCTCCTTGCCCCATCTTCAGTAGACCATACAGATTTTTCCCCTCCTAATCTCCCTCCGTCTACTCATTATTTTTATCCCAGCCCCCAACTCCAGCAGGTACTCTCTGGGAATCCACAAGCCACTCTCACCAGGTAAACAAGTACACTAACTGCAGATCTTCAATCTTCCTCCATTCCTCCAAGTCCATCGCCAAAGTCTCATCGCCAGCTCTGTAGCAAACCTTCTGCTGTGGCCTCTCCTTGCTCTCTACCCCCATTCCCAGTGAACTAAACAGATCCTGAACACACTGCCCATCCCCATTCCTAAGTGTCAGCTCCCAATATCCAGAAACACCTTTTACCTGGATACTCCCAATGGCCATACCTAACAGGATCCAAGAAGAATTTCCTTCCAGGTACCACACAGCCACCACTTTCTCATAAAATCCAGAGAGGGCAACAGAAACCAAGGTACAAATAACTCCCCAACAAAAACAAGACCAGATATCAGCAACTAGAATTATAATCTTCCCAATACTAAATGTCTAGAAGCCAGCATAAAAACATAGCAAGGATAGTATGTTTCCACTAAAGCCCAGGAACCCTACTAGAGCAGGCCCTGAGTATTCCAACGTAGCTGAAGCACAAGTAAAAGACGTTATA